TTAATGATATCTACTCAGAAATACGTCAACTGAGTTCAATGGAATTTATTCCCAGGTAAACGGTTGGGGCATTGCAACTTGAGTTGTAAACTGACCCTGTAAGATTGATGCCTGGAAGAAGAGCCATAGAGGATAAATACAAACTAATGTGGAAAGACATATGAAAGGCAATCATGCCTACTGGTTATATTATGTGGCTGTTATTTTGCTTTAAGGATTCGAGATAATGCACATTAGAATAAACACTCTATATGTAATGGTATGTGGGAATGACCTTGGGAGACAGTAGGAAGAGGAGTTGCAGAATAGACAAGTCTGATAAAATTTGAGTCCAAACGAGGAGGGGTGGCAGAAGCATCTCAGGAGGAACCTTCCCTGGCTTGGGGGAGAGTAAAATTGAGGGACAGGAGGGATACTTTCAAACATGCAAGATTCTGTTAATGTAACCTTACAATAAAGATAGAGCTAGTACTTCTGCTTCTTGTCTGGACTACCTCGCAAGGCTAACACTGAAAGTCAGACGCGACTGCTGAGTTGTAAATCTGCCGTGGGCAACGTCTCACCTTTCAGAGAAGGACATTTAGGTCACACTCGTGATCACTTCCGTGATTTTGTCTGGGTTTGTTTCTAAGACTATATGTTCTGTTTTGTGGAACCGGTGGATTATTAATGTTAAAGCACTGCTGTAATCTAGAAAGCATGCAGGTTGAAACTACTGGTAAAAAAAGTAAATGTACAGAAAGCTGAACAGAATACGCTGCACCGTGAACTTGCGAGGAGGGCGGGCCAAGAGAAAGAAAAGATAAAGTGTTGCAAAAGACGGCAGAAAAAAAAAATCCTTTTTCCATCAGAAGGGATCGCCAGCGAATGGTCCAGATGTGCAGGTATATTCCAGGGGTTTCAGGTGGGGAGGGGGAAGCGGCGACGAGCCAGAGGCTGGGGACTAGCCGCGCTCCTCAGCAGCTCCGAGCCCACGTGCGCTTCGCTCCCGCTCCTCGTTTGCTCCCGGAGACAGACTCTCGCCGTCGACAGAGACGCCTCGCCCTCCCCCTTCCCCCCTCCCCTTTTGTGTCAAGGCTAAAATCAAGCGAAGGAGACCCTTCGTGCTTTGCGTGGCGGAGTTACGGCCGTTTGCCGGCCACGCACTGGGCAATCGGCGCAGAAGGCGCCCCTCTGGCCTTGGCATCAGAGGGCGGGAGGAGGCGCCCGCCTGCGC